GAAAGCAGTGTTATTTAACAAGAAAAAGCTGGTTGATACTTCACTGTAATAAATAGGAATGTTTTCCTGCATTTGGATACAAAATAATATACAAGCAAGTTAATGCTTTTACTCTCAAACTATCATGAAAACAAGTCTGTAGTACCTGACTATAGATGTACTAATATGGGGAAAAAGGACCAGTCATTTACCGTTTAGGACTTCTGTTCCCTTATTTGAATCAACCAAAATCCTGTTCCAAAGATGATGCTAGTTTATTAAGTTAATGGCTTGTACTAGCCTGAATAACTATGTGGAGTGGCAAAAGCAAAGAAAAACACTTTTGTATGAAACTGCAGTCTGTAGGGTCAGTCCCAAATTCATGAATTACAAAACAAATCTAAACCAGTGCATTGACGTCGTGTTTCTCTTCCCTGCCAGTTCCAAGCAGACACATTACATTTATATCTTATCTCTTCACGCTTTTGCAACAACTGCTGCTTACTACTTGGCAGCAATTAAAAGGCCAGTTTGTAACCTTATGGCTTACTCCAAAAAGAAACCATCCTGTGAAGACTGTGCTCTGTTACCACACTATCTGTGCCTGTATGTGACTTTCCTTAAAGAAGTTTTCTCTTCAGCACTTTGAAGCTTGTTCGACACGTGGTTCAGCGTGCTGGTGCTGTCCAGAGACACTAGATAAAATTCTTGATTTACCTGATAGCTGTTCTCTGCTCGCTATCAAGTTTAGTAACAGAAGAATTGCCTGATATAAACAAGAGGGGGAGAAAAGGGGTTGAGAGCCTGTGAGCTATTCTATAGCCACCACTTCATCTTTGAAACTTTCATTTGAGCTTTCATTTCACGGGCCAAAATCTGCTGGTAAGGACTTAGTATTGGCCTACTCCAAAACATATCTAACTAGTATTTCAATAGCTTGTCTTTGTTACCACCTTTTGACATTGCAGTAGAGTTGAGGTGGAATTTTGGCACGGAACCGGAGCTTAAGAGGTCTGTCACAAAGAACAACACTAGAAATGTCAAATCTTTCACTGTAGCCTTTAAATAGGCAGATAAGAAGTTTTCAGTTAATTCAGCAAGTTGTAAAAGGGGCTGAGACTGTAACACAGATCTGTGGGCAAGACACCAGAGGATGTTAGTAATTGGAGCATAAATACTGTAGAATATGATCCCTTTATTCTAAGGAATCAAACCCACTTTCCTCTAGAACAGAAGTTGCTTTGCAGCTGACGATCTTTGCCAATACCAATTAAAAGGGACTCCTCAAAAAGTACTTAATAACCTGATAATTTCAAAATGATCTCATTTAGGGCAAACAGAGCATTTTAATGTCAGTGGTCACTGGAGATGCTGTGACAACCATTAAAAATTTAGATGACAAACAAGTACTGCAGCAGTGTATGACTGTACTCCGAGAGCTGTTCAAGGAGCAGGTAAGAGAAGCTTCTTGCCAACAGAGGTAAAGCTTTCCATTTATTACTTCATGAGGAAAACCTTGGACTTTTAAAACTGTTTTTCTTTTTGTGTCAGTTTGAGGGAATATGCTTCCTTTGAGATAGTCTGAAAGCACAATGTTTGGTCTCTTGTCTGAAGGAATGTGAACTGAAGTATCTTAGATCTGGCTGAAGGAAAATGGTAATGAATTGAAAACCAGAAATGAACTGTGAACCTTTAAAGTACTTTTAGAAAGGGAAGGTAATTAAAATCAGTACTTTAGGCAGGTAACACTTCTTACTTAGCTGTCACTTTTCCAATCCAAACTTTTTTTTGGTCATTGCTGCTTCCAATACATCATAAAAGCTTTAAGCTAGATGGATTTGGATTGTAATTCCCCTTCCCTCCATGCAATAAACAACTGAAATCACACCACCACCACCCCCAAACCAAACCAACCCCTTACTCTTCTAATAGGAGACAACCCTTCCTGATCTGTCTTGGGATGGAAGTACAGGCAGAATGTTCTATCAAGGGCCCTACATCCTGACTGTAAAAAAACATTAGATAAAAATATCTGCCTCTTTGTCTTCCCCCAGCTCATCATCCAGATAAAAACTAATGGGGAAATCAGAGAAATCTGGGGCAGGCAGAATATTTAGAAATGTTATTTGCATTCCACTCTATAGCCAGTTAAATGACTCAGAGCAGTTCGGTACCAAGGAATGCTTGCGTTAATGTTCAGGGGTCATCTCTCCAGTTTTACTGATGGTTCAGATGGCAGGATTAATGATCTTGGAAAAACCTGAGCATCTGAAAGCCTGACTTTTCCTAGAAAGCATACTTTTGGTAATGGCTTTGCAGTTACCAGAATCATGTGCAGTGTAAGTCCACATACCTGCTACTTTGATCTCATAAGAACATCAAGGTAACAAACAGGTCTTCTTTGGTGCCACTCTAGTCTAGAAGAGTGATTTTCATGTCTGTCCCGGTGGTTTATAGCAGTTGTGAATTTCAGTCATCTCTCCTCAATGGAGCAGGATTTTCAAAGACAAGACAGCTTCCAGGGGTGTACCAAAACTTCTGGGATGTCCACGAAACTCGCAGTACTTGGCTAGCCATTGTCTTGATTGCTTGAGCTTTATTCTCTCATGTGCTACCTGCATGGAACAGTCTATTTCTCGATACCTGATGGTGCTTCTCTTTACTTGTCACAAGCCCCTCAAGAGTAAGAAACAGCTGTAGCTGCCTGAGCCTTCACACAGTTCTTAGCCGGGCAATTTTTGGTGGAACTGGATGGAATCTGCATGCTGCAACGTGACAAAGACACAGTCTTACTGTCACCCCTTAGCTACAGACACTCTTTGTGGGTTTTTTTGTTTTCTCCCTGGACCTAGTTTTTAGTGTAGCTCATTTTCTCATCTTAGATAAGTAATGTTATTTCTCCACTGGAATAAAATTATCTCCAAAATACAAGATTACAGTTGGAGATTTAACAAGCTAGAAGCAGCACAGCATCACGCCTTACCACGATGTAAAGTGCTTACATTATACATACAGACATACTGAATGATGTTGATATTGCTGTTTCCTGTTTGCAAAAGTATATTTGTATTTCAAGGAGATTTTTTTTTTCTCATTTGTAGTTATAGATATTTGTAGTTATATATATATTTTAGGTATATTACAGTATCTGGTATATTACAGATTTATTGCATTCAAAACAGTGCAGCTGTGATGTTTCAGACATAACAAATCTAACGAACAAAATTATCTTTGTGGTTAGAAGTATAATAAAGGAAACTGGAATTTAATTCTGGAATGGGATAGAATCTGCATCATCATAATACTGCCTACTCTAAAGATGAGAAGAAGCTCTTTATGAGAAAAAGCTATGCAGTTATGAGCTTTTCTTTGCAGTGCATAACCTTGATTTTAATTACGCAGGAGGTTCCTGACCCAGTGAAGTTTTTTGTTACTCGATGGAGCAAAGACCCCTGGCTCCAGATGGCCTATAGTTTTGTAAAAACAGGTGGCAGTGGTGAAGCTTATGACATTATAGCTGAAGACATACAAGGAAAAATTTTTTTTGCTGGTGAGGTAAGTATCTTTGTTACTGTTGATTCAGGTTATTGGGCAACTATTTCTTATGAAAGATTGTCTTCTGCTGACCGACACTGCTAATCTAGAGGTAGCATAGAAATATTCTGTTAAACAAATATGGGATAGTTTATTGATCATGACACAGAACCCTCTTTACTCATATTATGTGGCATGAAAAGTCTGACAGAGATTTCAGGAGTGAACTGCATAACCAGGAAGTGCAGAACATGACAAGACTCTACAATCCACTTGTATTTTTAGTCCAATTGTCTGTTATTCCATTTGTGGGTAAGGTAACAAATACCTGCTGCTGATGGTGTAGGTGCAGTTTATACTGGGAACAGAACTTACCTGCCCCAAGAAAGTGCAGATGGCAAACCAGACCACTGCTTTGGCCAGTTGACCTGCTTGTAAATGTTGAATATGCTAAAAATCTTAAATCCAAAATTCTTTCTAAGAAGTTTTCCATGGCTTTAAAAAAACGTTGGTATATACTTAAAGAAAACAAAACTGATCTTATAAACTGAATTTCAATCTGTTCTAATAGTTTTAGAACAAATTAACTTTTTTTTTATTATTTTTTTTTTTTTTTTAATACAGGCCACAAACAGGCACTTTCCTCAGACCGTTACAGGAGCTTACTTGAGTGGGGTTCGAGAAGCAAGCAAAATAGCAGCATTTTAAGTACTGAAATCTTGTGTTTATAGATATATTTTTAATTGTTTTCTGTGGGTAAAACTATCTTCAAGTTTTCTATTGCTGCCTTTTTCCTAAGTGGTACTTAAAATAGTATATGGTACCTGAAGATAAAATCTTCATGTTCCTTTTCTTCTTTCTCCCCCCACCCTCTTTTGAAGCCCCGATGATACGTATTGTTGGGGGGTTTTTTTTGTCCCAGCTAAGGTATTACAGCAAGAGTGACATTGGAGTCCCTGGCCACGGTTTAACTAATGGAACTTTTCTTGAGAGTCCTCTTCTGTACGGCTCAAGTCATGCTGTTGTGAACCTTCATTTCAGAAGGTGGGATTAAAACAAGGCTAAGTTAACATACAGCATTAAAAATGCTGGCAGTTAGCAATGATGATGGCAATTTTCCACTACCTGTGCATCTCAGGTTGATGGTGCTCATAAGAGTTCAAACTTGCTCCCAAAAGCCTGAATAGCCTAGACAAATTCTGGAATTATTGGAGTTATTAACTCAATATAATTATTGAGTTATTAACTCAACTATCATTCTTTCTACTTGCAATCAATAGCCTTTTCTAGAATATTTTTCATATTCTTAGCCTCCACTAAGTGAGCTTTGGAATATCAAGTTTGTTCCTTTAAATCAGACAGCTGGAACAGTTTACAGTGCAATCCTGGAAAGGTTATTGTAGCTAATAAAAACTTGAAAAATTAACTTTTTCATTACTTTAAAAAAAAAAACAAACCTTTGAAATATTCTCTCTGCTACTTGTTCAGAATAATTCTTGTTACAATAACAGGCTAAATTTAGATTTGCTTAGTGTTCACATAGAAACAGGACAGCTTAAAAATACTATATTTCTATGATTATTTTGAAAACAAACTTCCAAATTAATTTGGGCTGAGTAGAGGAACTATCTACTGATATGAGTGCACAGGGGGGAGCGAAGGACTGCAAGTTCCTGACAGCTCATTCAGCTTTTATATTTAAAAAATAAGTGAAGATGAATGAGGAAAAATATGAAGACTTTGACGAAGGGCTGGAACAAGGTGGTTTGCACTTTGACTTGAAGTTTTGTTTGGGTTTTTTTTTCCTTTTTATTATTGAAGCATTATTAAAAGCAACTTGAGAGAGTAATTCAGTAAGGGCTAAGCATCTATCTAACAGCTTTTCCATGGGACAGGGAAGAAAAGAAAACATTTTTCAGCAGAAATAGGACAGACACGACCAGGATAGCTGTTGTAATACTTTTTCACTAAACCAGTATTAATGGAAAAAAATAATAATAATAAAAAAATCAACTTTTAGATCTCTTCCCCTGCAGCTTCCCTTTAACTTTGCTGCATAGACCTCATGATTTCTGGAAGGCAAGGAAGCACTTATTCTTTTCCCCCTTCATTCTCATGCTTTTTTGGTTTTTTTTAAATCTCTTCATTTAAGAATGACACCACACACTTTTTTTGAGTTACAGTGCTTATTTCCATACAGCTGTATACTTGGAAAAAAAAAACAAAAACAAGCAACCTTAAGAAAAATCCTACTGAATAAACGCTATTGTTCTGTTTAAATACTTAATATTTTGGTTTTGGAATAGCTTTTATATTGTTAAATACCTTTATTTAATCTCTAATTTACGAGGTGAAGATGTTTATATAACTAGATGTTTTTCAGATATATATTCTGTTCTGCTTCTTAAAGCTGAATTATATGGATTAATAGGAAAAGTGTAACTGTTCATAATTTTCCTCTACATAAATGCAAGTATGTACATTTTTAAAGTATTTCCAAGTATTAAATTGTAATTTAAAGGCTATACAAAGCAAGACAAAAATCCTCTGATGATAAAAGATAATCAGATATCAGATTTTGCTTTTGGTAATCATTTGCACTTTGTTAATTTAATAAATTACAGACCAATTTATAGCATAACTAGGAAAGATTAAGAGCTGCATATGTTTGAGTTCTGAGTTTCGTTGCCAGTTTATCATATATGACATAATTATTAGGAGATGAGATTCTGAAGATGGAAGAAAAGCTTATTACTACAAGCCCCAACCATTCTATTCAGTGTCTGCTTCAGCTGACATTGATCAAAACTCCAGTCAGCTTAGTAACAACATAGGAACACATCACATTTTAGGTAGGAGCTGCCTGTAAAGTTGAGCTCAGCATCCATTTCTGCAGCCAAAGTTTGTGTAACCACACTTGATTTTAGGCATCTGCTTCCATCCTGTTAATTTGTACCTGGGGTTTCACATCGATCTGCAACTTTGCAGGCAGATAAATGCTATATTCTAGAGAACACAGATGAACACATACTGTCACGTTTGGCTTTAGCTGCTGCACACTCCTTACAGCATTAAAAAAAAAGGATAACATGATAAATTTACCAATGGCCTAGTCTATTAATTATTTGTATATTATTTTGGTGCCAAGGCACTTAAACTGTGTTGTGATGCACTTAGGTTTAAGGAGTAAATAAAATAAGTATGTTCCATTTTAATTTACATTCATTTGAAATGTGTAAGAACATCAGGCTGGTTCTGAGACTTCATTCTTTAATTAATGATCCCCCAAAATTTTAATACCTATGTTAAAGTTTATTTCAAGCATGTATGTGTTTTTTCTTTTGTGTTTAATTTATTCCCTGTATATAAAGAACTGGGGAATCTTTTCTTTGAGTAGATTTGTAAACATTTGTTTAAATGTTATTAAAAAAAAAATATTTGAATGCAGAGCATGATCTGTTACACTTCAACTCTTCTGTGTGACTATGTTATGGCAGCAGAATAAAACTGGAAAGGATCCATGGGATGCTCATGTTTTGTTTTATTGTTTTGGGGGTGTTTTTGTTTTAAATTTTAACCAGTGGCTAAGCCTACTTCTTGGTTACATTTCTTGGATATTCATATTAAGATTTCATTTTAGTAAATTCCTAGAGCTAGACAATTCCTCAAAGTGCTGCTCTACAGCTTCTGCTGAGCACTAACTAACTGCATTGTTATTGGGGTAGAATGGTTTGGGTTGGAAGGGACCTTAAAGCTCATCCAGTTCCAACCCCCCTGCCAGCAGCAGGGACACCTTCCACTAGACCAGGTTGCTCAAAGCCTCATCCAACCTGGCCTTCAACACTTCCAGGGAGGAGCAGCCACAGCTTCTCTGGGCAACCTGTTCCAGTGTCTGACCACCCTCACAGGGAAGAACTTCTTCCTAATATCTAATCTAAACCTTCCCTCTTCCAGTTTAAAACGCTTTACATGCCCTTGTAAAACATCCCTCTCCAACTTTCTTGTAGGTCCCTTCAGGTACTGGAAGGCTGTATCTTAATATAATCATCAGTGTCTTTTAAGATAAGATGATAATTGTTTAGAAGCACTTTCCATAATTTTAAAATAGCCAGAAAAAAAATCACCAGAAAACTATTTAATGCTTTTCTTTGAATCACTGTAGTATGAACACTTTGTAGGACTGTGGTCCTGAAAGGTTCCTGCTAGCACTGATCACTATAAGCACATGCAAGCCTAACTAGATGCTCAAAATATTTACAATACAGGCAATGCCAAATTCTGATACCACTTATCTACATTGTTCTTCTTGAACGGGTGGTTAGAGCTTCATTTAGTGTAAGTCTCACTGCAAGCAACTTAAAAAATTCCTACTCCCTTTGAAAGCTTATTTCAACCAGTACCACACGTAGGGCTGAACCAGGGAAAGGGTGAATGTGTGGAAGATCCACCGCTTTCCCCTAACCCCATCATATCCAGTTAGCAGTGCACAAGGACATGCTTTGTTCTCCTACTGCTAACTCCCTGCAGGAAATTATTTTCATTACACCTGACACTGGTCATGAAACATGTTGACTTCATTCTGAGAATAACAATCTCTAAAATGGAAACAAACTGCTAATGCTGTTTTTAAAATTAAAGTACAAATGGGTAGATTTCATCACACTCCCTTGAAAAATGACACTCCTTCAAGAAAAGAGGTGGTGTGAGGGAAGTTTGTTTTTTCTTTTTAGCCCAGCTGTCTAAAACTTAGACCAGAAATAAAAGTGAAGTAGCAAGTCTACGACTGAGTGCAGTCCAGTGACCACTGTCAGGTGAAAAAGCATGTCAAGTTATGCAGTACTGCCATCCTCTTATCCCCAGGTCCATCTGAATAAACCTTTAGACCTACAACTTCCAGCTACTTGCTTCAATAAGTAATTCCAAATTCAAAGGCAGGAGAGACATTTATTTGCAGAAGGAAAATCACACACTTATCAGATGTTTCTTAACTTTTTTCAGGCAGTGAAACACTGATTTTAATAAATTTACTATTGCAAGTTTTCAGACAGTATTCTGGTGCCTTATAGATTTTTCTACTCTTCTCCTTAAACAACAGGAATTAAAGTAACAACAACCCCCACCAGAAGGAATGCTTTCATTTTAGGAATGCTTTCATCTAGCTCAGTTGAAGCTACTTGATTATAGTCAACTTTCTGATTTGGAAACAGGAATTAGATCTACTCAAGTAGTCATGAGCCACCCTCTCTCTGAAATAGCAGCAGAGTTAATAAACCTTATTGGAATCACCATGCTGACTGCCAGGGGCATTATTTGTCCAGATTAAGCACTGGCCTCCAAAAGGGTTATTTTTAAGTCCAGTTTAGCAGTGGTTTAGCTAAACTCAGACATTCATAGATCGTGCTTTGGCGTGTTACCTTGTAACAGGATGATGCAGAAAGAACACAGATGCTGTAAGCAGTCTGCTCAGGTCCAAGGCTGTTAGCCTAGAGCTTCTGGAAAAAAAGTGGGATGACAAAGTTGTGTCTTCATCATTTCATCTTGGTTATACATGTCTGAGCAGTACACTGTGGATTACTGCACAACTCCCATTCAGCTGTTTTCCTAGAGACATGTAACCTCTCTTCACTCAAGACTTCTACTCTTCCCTTTCTCCCCCTGGCCCTCTCCATCTTCCTTCTCCTACACGTCCCATACACTGTTACCTCATTTGTAAGAACAGTTGTTTATAGAAAAGTTACAGAAAGTAATTTTGGTTAATTTGTCTAGTTTTGTAGGTTACCAACCAAAATACTGAATACCAAAGATTTAACTAACCAGAGGAACCACTACACTGGACTGTAGGAATGATGATTAACAATTAAATCAAGATGTTAGGACTATTTTTCTAGAATACAATAGCCAGGACATAATCTTAAGTGTCTGGAAAGTACACACCTGAACACTTTATTCAGTTATCTTCTATCCAGTCAGCCAGTTTCTATTTTTTATGAGCATTTCTGTACAGGATTTAGAGCCCTAATCACCTGTGGTTTTAATCCAATAGCATCAGGAAAAGGAGGACATCTTATTTACCTTTTAAGTATTGTCTTGCAGTCTTTCCCCAGGCTGTAGAAAGAACTGGAATCTTTTATCAGCTGCAGCCAGACTGGTATGGATTATCAGAGAAACAGCTCAGGCACTTCTTCGCTGTTGAGGACTACACTGAGTTGTAGTTAAGAGGTCTACACAAAGTATTTGAAGGATGCAGAGTTCAATTCCATTCCATGTGCACAAGTCCAAAGTGGCAAGTAATGCATATATACCATAAAGAGAAGTACACTACCCTTTTGTAAGTTTTCCTTAGAATTTACACTGTAAAAGATATTTATACTTGGGAGTTGCTCACCTTAAAAACCAGTTCCTGACCCACATAATTAAACCTACTGGTATATTTACATAAAAATCACATGGCAGTTCAAGTATTCGTAGAAAATCCATCCAAAACCCCAGCAAAATTTGACACAAGTAATTTCTGCTTTTAAGCGGGACTTGGGAACTTTCAAATTTGCAATTAAAAATATCAAAAGTGTTCTTTATGCTAAGATAGTTCAGAGAAAAACAGAAAAAAAAAAACCCCCAACCAAAACCAAACCAATTCACAGATGATGTAAAATCTTACCCTGGTACAAGGACATACATTTCAGAAATTCAGAGATATTACCTTTCAAGTAGGGAAGCCTGCCACATCAGGCTTTAATAGTTTCTACCAGATGAGAGATAAAGACAACAACCTTGTTTCTGTTTATTATTATTTTTTTTTACTATACATTTAAGCAAATGTTAGGTCATCAAAACTGATTTACATTTTTGTGAAAGACATTTATTGAATACAAAACCCCCCATTACATTCAGCCTCATTATAAATGATTACACGCAAAGAAATTTAAAAAGTGTGTGAAGAGGAATAGTCGAGCTGGCTGAACATTTTCAGAATTTAGATCTTTTATGAACCCTTATTTCTCAACTGTACAATAATAAAATTTAAAAAAAATATGCTTTGTCTGTCTTTCCAGCAATACAACAGTCAGAGTGATCCTGTGCTTATGGCGTCAATGGCAGGCAACACTTTGGCAATGACTAGTTTCATGATTTCAAGCGCAGGAGTTCCGTATGAACAACAAGGTGTGTGGAGAACACAAATCTAAACAACAAAAATTTAGGCAAAGAGTTCACTTTGATCCAAAAAAGCTGTGAGCCAAAGTGCAACTGCTGGCTTAAAAGTACCATTGTCCATGTTGAGGCATCAAGGCTGAGGTTCAGAAGAGCTTTCCCATACAGAAGACAGGCTTAAACACACACGTCAGCGCTGCCCGATTCACAATCCCCAGTCGATTTCCAGAGCTATCAAACGAACCTCCCAGCTGCACATCTTGGATCCCCGCTTCTAGGACGCTAGGCCATCAAGTCAAGACACTAAAGTAAAAGATTTTTTGCAAAGTGAGCTTCAGAAATTTTCCTACAGCCTTTGGAGGGAGTTTATTTACTATGCCAAGCCACTGAAACAGATGTACCTTGTCAGTCTTTTGTACAAAGTTAAATGCTGAAAGCTTAAGTATAAAACTACAGTTTGTTTTTTTCTGTACAAGGTCAGATGGGACAAACATCAGAAAACCTCAACTCGCTTGTAGTTTCATGAAACCTCCTTATACCACTTTTCATCACAGCCTCACTGCTGAACACTGACATTTCATGTCATAAATCCTAAAATAACAAGATTAAAAAAACTGATTTGCACCAAAAAAAAAAAAAAAAAATCTGAAATAACTTTATATACACAACAGAAAGCCTTTTAAAATACAAAAATAACATCTCTATGCCAATTAGTTACCATGCTTTAACAGTTCTCGCGGTGCCTACACATGCAAGACAGCAATCTAGATTCAGAATAATTCTGCATCTGAAGAATGTATTCAGAATATAAAAGACATTAACATGTGACTAACTTGTTATTATCAGAATGGATATATGTATTCCAAATCTCTTTATAACCAATACTGCAGTATCCAGTCTCTGCATGTGTATGTGCAGATAAGCAGCTTTCATCTTACTTGATTTTAAAAATCTCCTGCAGGCTAGTAATCCACACTAAAAAGCTACAATGGTTCTAATTAATCTAGTTATACAAAGCAATTCAAAATGTACAAAAACTATAACAAAAAAAAAAAAAGGAGAACATTTATTGCCATGCACAAAACTTGTATGTTCAACTAAAAACTGCATCAAATGCAGCTAAAAAAAAAAAATACACAAAGCAATTTACATCAACACTCTTAACATGAGATCAGCAGAATCAGTTCTGACTAAATACCACAAGGGTAAGATATATTCTCCTTTTGCTGGTGCCTATCAGATCTTCAAATCCATGGGAACATGAAAGCAGGAATCTTCATTTCCCACAGTCAAATCAGATCATGAAATCAACTGAAAAGAGAACTGTATTAGTTTTCTCCTTCCTCTCAATGCAATTACATACAGCCTCTCCTTTTGCAGCAGACTATCAGGAAAATACACTCTACTTGTGCTATCACAAACCCCCGAGAACATCCCTACAGCAGACAAATTGCTCTTTTATGCCTTTGCTGATAGTGACACATGCATGCAAAGCACATAGGCACGACTATTTCTAGATAACCAGACATCAACATCTGCAAATGAAGCCACAAGAGAAAGAAAAGTTAATAAAGTAACTCAGCACTAAGTGAACCTCACTTCTCTAGTTCAATTTTTAGTTTTGGGGCAAGCAAAAGTAATTGAACTTGATTTTTGTTTTTATTTTTTAATTTTTTTTAAACAAATTGCCAATCACAGATTGGACAACAAACCCTTTGTCATGAGTACGTTAGATCAGGCCTCATCTTCAGTGCAGCAAACTCAAATGCAACACTCTAACTGTGCCACCAGGAGCACATACAGAGAGAAGCTATCCATCTTTATCCTCTTTTGCCTTCTTTTCATTCCAGAGCTTATACAACCTCATGCATTGTTACCTACGAATGTACGTGGTCAGTGCATGAATTATAATGCACCTTGCAGACAAGGCTGTAATTTAAAGCAAATGCACAGCTTGCAGAGAGTAAAAGTCACAAAAAAGAAATGATGATAGCTTTAATTTTAGTTCTGCTTACCAAAGATATTCATAAGAGTAGTAGTGGCATGCTAAGAAAATAGAGTCTGAAGCAGTAATTTTTGGAAGAGGAATACAAAAGAAAAAAAAAAAAAATCAGAGCCAGAATTTGATTTTATCAGAGCACTAAACTTCCAACACTACACAGGAGGCTATTAAAACCAGTGTAACAGGATGCCATACCACTTTCCAACAGGCTGAAGGAAAAAAAAACACCCAACCCAGAATGTTTTAGAAACAACAAAGTCTTTACCTCTTTGACTGTTTCTTTAATGAAGTCTTTCCTGTCAGATAAGTCATAACTAGGGTAGTTCTCATACACCTAAAAAAAATAAAAGGTAAATAAAACCAAACCAAACCAGACCTCAAATTACTTTCATTCAATGTACTCTATGAATAGAAGGAGCTTAAATTAAATAAGGGCAGAAACTGTTGTAGTACTTCTACGATTACAACTGCCAAAGTGCCCTCTGTTAATTAGGGAGAGGGACAAACTTATTTTCCTGTCCTTAATATTTTGACCACATAAATATTTAAATACATGTATATTTTTATGTTTGGTCACTGACTTAATCTAGTACTATGATTTTTCACATCAACAACTTGGAATGCCTAGCTTGCCATGTCAGGCAAGTAAGAATTCTCCAGTCCTTGTCTTACATGCTGTCTAAATAGTCAGATACCCCTGCGTTACTGTAGCATGCTAAACACAGATCAAATCCCAAGGCTTATTTATTTTCTGGTAATAAGTAAAACTGTGATCCTTTCAAGTGAATAATACAAAAGCCAACCTATTTGAGTGCTATCCTACAACTGTCCTTTGGTTAACTGGGTGGGAGAGGACTAAACAAACAAAAACCAGATGCCAACACTGACAACCAATGCAGAATATTTTATTTCTGTATTATACCAAATTTTAGACTTCTAGAATGACTATAAACATGACAAAATGTTTGTACAGAATATAAACATATAATGTTCTCATAAGAGTAACTTCTGGTTTAATTTTCTCAAGACAACTTCTTGAAGTACCAGGAAAACAAACATGTGAGTTAACTGACTGTAGAAAATGTCAAGGTGACAGTATTGTCTGTGGTTTTGTCACTTTTCCTCCCCCTTCCCAGCCATGTGGTTCCTTCCTGGCACCTGTCCTGACAGTTACTGTATTTCTTGTTGAATGGATTCAACTCACTAACTCAGATGAGAACTTCATTTTTAGCTGATAGATGAGAGTTGTATGGACTCAAAGAGAATCACAGGAAGAATGAGAGCAAGGTGAGCAGAAGCATACAGAGAGCAGAACACAGCTCTCCCCTTCTGACAGGAGGAAGCTGCTGCACCGTCTCAACATCTCCAGTATTTCACTTTACTACATGGCAGTTGTTTTGGAGGCAATACTCCTATTTTGCACACAGCTAATTTTCCTCTGGAGATTTCCCTTCTAATGTTGGGTATCAGTGTTGCATATCTTAAGATTAAATCCTTGTTATAGCTGTTAGCAAGTAAATAAATCAATGCAAAACTACTTTGTTTCTGAACCACTCTGCAGGGTGGAAACTTGCATTTCTGAAACGATGACAAAAGTCAGTTCACAGACAAGCCACTGCCTAAAAAAAGACTGCAAAATCATATCTGCTTACCTTCTTGCAAATCTGTTTCATCGTCACCTCCTCCAAGTTTGCATTGGCCAACAAGTTCTTGACAGTTTCCTTGAGTTCTTCATCTGTGGGTGGTTTCTTCAGCTTTTTAATTAAAGGTTCATCATCTGAACTATTTTCAGACTCACTTTCTAAATATAAAGAATAATTTCAATTGTGATAAAAGATTTTCAGTTTGTCTGCTTTTTTTCCTCCAAAACAGAAGCCATCAGAACTTTCCCCAAACATATGATGCAAATGTTCTCCCTTAAAACAGACATCTTGCCAGACAAAGCTAATGTCATCTTAAAAACAGACATCTTAAAAACAAAGCTAATGCTATCAGTACTACAATTATTTATGAATCTGCATCATTGTTGATGAAGTACCAGCTTACAAATCAATATGCACTCTAGAAAGTATGAGATGGATTAAATTTAATCTGTCAAACTAAAAAAAGTTTATTACAAGAATTCTAAATTGATGTATTATGGTCCTCAAACCAAGAACTTTTAAATATTGTCATTACTGTTGCAAGAAAAGAAACATCAAGTAGCAACCCAACAATTCACCAAATTCTGTTTTCCTTCACACTTAGACACAAAAGCTTGCTTTCCAATAAGCATGCTAGTTAAGCTACAAGACAATTTATGATGAAAGATTTAAAACATTTACCTTTTCTAGAACTGTTCTGATTCTTTTTAGTAGTGCTGCTATCTGCCTTCTTGACATTTGCACCCTTCACAGCTTTCTTGGTTTTGGCAATCTTTTTAGATTTTTCTCTTTTAGATGCTTTTCTAGGGGGCTATAAAGAAGAAAAACAGAAGTTGAAAATGATGGTTTCTACCCGAAAAATCCATACCTCTTCTCCACAATGGAAATTATCCTTTCTGTCAATACAAACTAAAGCAGCAAATTTAATTACTGTATTTTATTAGCAATTTCTGCCTCTATACCATAAGGGGAATATGTCCACAAAGAGTATTCCTACGTTCTTTTAAATTTCACATGTCCTTCTAACATGGAGTCTTAAGCTCAAACAGATGGAAGTTTTTGATGATACTAGTAGTTTGGTTATGCTACAATTTTCCATTCACAATTACTTATAATTAGCTGATAAAATCACTTTAAATATGTTTCTTTAAATGGTATTTTGTATTCAAATTACTTCTAGATGCTCTAGCTTTCTAAGATTACATGCAGCTAATTCTTTTTGCACTAGTTGAGGAGAACTACATCAGCTCATCTGTAATTTGGCCAATTATTGTGCCTAGTAAACCCCCCAAATTATCCCATTAACATCAACAGAAGAAATTTGGAACATAAAGATATACAGTATACATGTATCAGTGCACTGCATTTTTGGCACAAAGTAAATGTGTGCTAAACACAAAATCTTTAGATAATACTTCTGACAAGGCTGAAAACTTCCCTCATGGAAACATGGAACATTGACAAGGAATAAACCACACTTCAGAGAACCAATATAATGAAACAAAACCAATTAATTAACAGTAGTTACTAAATTCATAGTTCTAATTTATACTCAAAATGGCAGCGCAGTCAACTGAGCCAACTATCACACAATTAAGATCAGCTCTTCTGTTGATGTTAATGGGAAAATTTTGGGGGTTTACTAGTCACAATAACTGGCCAAATTACAGATGAGCTAATGTAGTTCTCCTCAACTAGTGCAAAAAGAATTAGCTGCATGTAATCTTAGAAAGCTAGAGCATCTAGAAGTAAATTAAATACAAAATACCACATCCTTTTTAACTGCTTCTCCCATTAGTACCTGGTGCCACCCATGAAGCCAGTATTTAATATACCAGATTATATTTATTTATATTGGCTTGCTCAGTTACAGTTGCACTCGCTCTGCAGTGTAAATGAAGGATAAAGACTTTCACTGCTGAAATTCAGAAAATACACTCAAGGATCCCCCCATTTCTAAATAAATGTTTGTAGTTTCTAACTTTTCAGCTTTCAGGTTTCTGCCAAAGCTCCATCACCAGCTACAAAGTCAGAAGTTAAAAGCTGGCACTCACATTCCAGTTTTTATAAAATTATGCTCCCCCAGCACATAAAAATATTTTGGGTATCTTTTGCTTCCAAGTCACTGTACAGTTTTTTTGTTTGTTTATATTGTATAAAGAAAAGAGCTACAAGCAAGAGAGACATGCAAATCAGGACAATCTACTCCAGTCACTCCATGCCTAAGGTTCCAACAGAGCCGGAGCAGCAAAGCAGATATGCTGCCTACATCCTTCCACCTGTAGGATGTTAAAAAGTGTCAGAAATCTAACTTTCTTCTTTAATGCTGCAATCCTAAAGCGGTACAAATTAAGACATTTTCCATTTCATCACTTCCTACATTCAAACTCATTTGACATACTAGTGTTTTTGTACTAATGAAGCTTTTACTCCCTGCAAGTCAACTTCAGTTTCCAGACTTCAGTCTACTCAGCTATTGCCTGGCAGACATATCTAACTAACACCTTCTGAAAGGAAACAAAGAAGATCCAGTTAGATAAAATGGAGCTTACTATGAGGGTTTTTTTGTTGGATTTTTTTTGTTTGTTTGGGCATTTTGTTTTGGGTTGGGTTTTTTGCTGTTGGTGGTGGTGGTGTGGTTTTTTGGATATATTTTTTTAAATAACAGAGTTCTTGAAAAATTTTCTAAAAGACAACTCCTGCCTCTGAAAGCAATATTCTTCTCCTCACAGTAGGAAAACTGTTTTGCTGAAGAGATGAACAAATATAAAATGAACTTGCAGTATTTCAGTCCTCTTTCAATTTGGTATTTGTGGGGAAAGAAAAAGGCAAACTAAGAATTAAGTTTGTCTCATGGAGGCATAGGAAACTTCATTGAACCATGTTGTTAAATTAAAACCAACACCTACCAAATGACAGTGACAAAAACCAAACTGTTAAATTGGCCTTTCAACAAAGATTTTTGTTACTATTTTCTATAACTCCAATTATTTAACAGCCTGTCACTTCCACTGCAATAGACAGAGTGTAACTCAAATAAATAACGGTCTTAGATTACAGCCAAAGGTTCCACAGCTTACATAAAGAATTTCCTTGGACATCAACAGTTGACTAATTGCTGTTTGTTGCAGGGCTCTGATTAAGGCAAAAAAGGCAGTTCCATTCTAAAGCAAAATATGGGGTAAGATGGAGCCTTGTAGCTCATTTTAATTCCTTTTTTCCAGGCTTTAGGTATATGAACAAATCAGTGTACACTTTGTACACAAATCAGCTGTACACTTGTACTGTCCCTCCATGTTTTGTGTCTATGCTGTGAATAAGTTCAGGGCTGAAATGGAATGTACAGCGAAAAGGAAATAGAAAGTTAATCTCATTTCTCTCCTACTATGCAAGGCTAAAAGAAGCTTCCAAAAAACCAGAGAACAGAAAATACAGTGAGATGAGAACACTTTGGAGATTGCAGGGATCTTTCCAAGGCTGCTTACTATGTTGCTCACTTTATCTTTCCAACCCAAGACACAAACCCTAAAAGAGAGATTAGGACACAGGAAAAATATGGAACCAAGATCCAAAACCAAGGCAGCTAGGAAGGTCAGGGATCTCTAGTGAACTCAAAGGTAAGTCCTAGGTATCCAACCAAACCCTAGACAGAAATAAAAAGACAGCTAGATACTGGGAATTTTTATGAAATTACAATAAAGTCATCACAAGATGATACAAGAAATGCAATCAATTATGTTTGAAATCCTGCCTGCCCCAAAAGGACAGAGCAAATGGTTTTATAAGGTACATATATACATCCAAGAATCAGAACCTTTGCTTTTTATCTTATTGATTCTCCAACTTTAATGCACTAAGAAATTATGAAAATCTCTTCCAAATTGCAGATGTGTTCCCTTTTCTTTCAAAGCATTCAGTTAAAACATCACTTACCCTCCAACTCTGTGTGTTCCAAGAGTTACCAACTGATAACAACCACATAGTGACAAACTGCAGACAAATGTACTTAGCCTTATGTTGAAAAACAAACAAAAAAGCCTCATTACCTCATCTTCACTTTCTTTTTCTTCTGAAGAGTCATCCTTTTCTTTCTTTTCATCTTCACTACTGGATTCATCTGACAAGATCTCTGGGCACTTGGTACGTTTTGCTTTTCGTGTTGTTCCAGTGCTACTGCGTTCTTTTTTGCCACCTTTGCTCGGTGTTTTTTTGGACTTTGGCAATGGCTGAAAGACAAGGATGTGTATAATCCAAGTAGCAATATGAAAGTGAATTTTAAAAATATACATTCAAATCACATGAAAGAAGAGTAAACAAATATAGAAGTCTCTTCATAACAAAACCCAGGACTATTCTATATACCACACTTAAGCCAGAACATTTTGCAGTAAGCAGAAATTCATTACAGAGATGGAGCTGAGTGAAATGAAATTTCAGCTCTAAGCTAAGCAACTCTTCCACTCCCCTAACCAAATATTCAAAAGTTGGAGGTTAGGGAAGGGAAGCAAGAACAATCTAGATGGAACCTTTTACCCACCTATGCCTTCCCAACCCATAAAAGCAAGCTTTTTCTTCTGGTAATAAATTAGCTGACAACTCTTTGGAAGACAGAAAGGCAGAAATTCTGTCATGTCTTATGCAAAACTGCATTTTGTTGTCACGTAGTAACAGTGGCCCTAAGGCAGCACGCAGACTCCTTACCAGTATCTGCTGCAAATAAATTTAATCTCCTGAGAAACAGCCTAATTATTTAAGTATTGTTATTAGATTAAAAAGTGAAAGTCCAAGAAGATTAATAACAGAATTTGGTAGTCTTGGCAGCTGAGTCTAGTGCACCAGCATCTAATTAAAGCAAGTTTTCTTAGCCTTGCAATAAATTCCATTTTGTGGTGATCAAATGCGATCACATACACTTGCCAACTTGTAGCGTACCCAGGTAACATCTGACAATTTATTTTCCTGTCCTTTCATGTTTCATTTCCTTGCTCTGACACCTTTTTTTAAATTTTTCTTTCGTGCTCACATATTATGTCTGTTCCTCTCCGTTCACCCACAAAGCAGAAGCTACTTATGGTATCTGGGTATGGATATCTCTAATTAGCTTCCTGCGTTGACAACACGCACTTCTGTGCTCTAACAGTGTACAATGGGTGCACTTACATGTGAGCATCAGAGTTTCTAAGTCCTCATCTCATTATGGATGCCTGCAGCAGCAGAGCTACTCTCTTTCAAAAAGCCACTGCTACTTCACTAACTGCTACTAACCGCTACTAACTGCTGGAGAGAGGGCAGCACAGAGCCACCAAGATGATGAAGGGAGTGGAGCATCTCCCTGATGAGGAAAGGCTGAGGGAGCTGGGGCTCTTTAGCTTGGAGAAGAGGAGACTGAGGGGAGACCTCATTAATGTTTATAAATATGTTAAGGGTGAATGTCAGGAAGATGGAGCCAGGCTCTTCTCAGTGATGCCCAATGGTAGGACAAGGGGCAATGGGTGTGAGCTGGAACACAGGAGGTTCTGCTTAAATTTCAGAAGGAACTTCTTTACTGTGAGGGTGACAGAGCCCTGGGACAGGCTGCCCAGGGAGGGTGTGGAGTCTCCTTCTCTGGAGACATTCAAGACCCGCCTGGACGCCTTCCTATGTGATCTCATTTAGGTTCCTGCTCTGGCAGAGGGATTGGACTGGATGATCTTTCGAGGTCCCTTCCAATCCCCAACATCCTGTGATTCAGTAAGTTAGAACAGTAATTGTATTGCCACCAGTAACAAGCAAATAACAAGCAATGCAGACAGCTGCATTTTTCATCAGAACAGAGCTATAAAAGCAAGCACAACCACCTGCATCTCACCTTGCCTGAAGATTTTGGGTGCATTAAGAAGTTTAAGATTCTGGTTACCAGCTCACTATTAACTCCTGATCTTTCCAAGTCAAGAACTTCACAGATACTTTTCAACATTGCATTTCTAAATCTAGAGAGAGAGAGAAAAAAAAAGATTCAGTATCACACTCTAAACAATCAGTCAACATTGACTGCTAGAAGCTGCTGTTCTGTGTCTTCAACCTGACAACAGACATGAATATATACACTTAACTACATTTCCAGTCTTATCTGTAGTTAAGTGAAGAACCACCACCATATTACATAAAGCAAATTAAAACAAAATTCCCAAATCTACATGTGCATAAAGTAGGATATATAAAAAATGTTATAAAATCTTAATTTAAAAAAAAAAAACCCCAAATCTTCTCCAGAATCTCTGTCTACCACACTTGGAAAGGAAATCCAGTTGGTTCAAGACTGGTAGGATATATAAAAAAGAAAGAAAGAATCAAACTTGGAAAGGAAATCCAGTTGGTTCAAGACTTGAAATCTAAGGGGGAAAGAGGTCTCTCTTTATTTTCTATGGTACTTCACCTATTTACAAAGTACTTCTGAAGACAGAAGGTTAAGAGAAACTCTGAAACCATCCCTTTTACTCCCAAAAGGATCTTGAACTAACTGTCCCACCAGTATTGAAAAAATGTGGAAAGAAAATGTCAAATCCTTGACCATATGACATCAGAATGCAAGCTTACTGAGATTTAAAAACAAACCAAACCCTCCAAAACCCAAACAAACCAAACAAAACAAAACGGACCCCTACTTATTCTACCCTTTACCTCCCTTCAAATGTTTATACTCTCCTCTTCACTCATTTCTGTACAACGCTGCCTGAAAAGTGGATTTCATTGTCTGACCATTTTTCTCAAGTTTAATAGCTATTTCTGGTAATCAAAGTCAAAGGAAACTTATTTTTCACTATTAATTTTAAAAGTCAGCACAACTATTTCATGATGCCCTGTAACTTCTCTGAAGTACCATTTAATTTCAGACTGTCCTTTTAAACTCAGACTTTTAAGGGGGCAGAACAACCTTGTTCTCCCATGTTTTAGGGCATGGGAACAGGAAATCCTAACTGGTTTGGTGCACCTCCCTGCCTCACAGTATAGTTCAACCACCATCCTTCCAACAACTAAGTAAAATCTTTCTTTTTTCTAGACAAGGTTATAAAAAAATTTGTGCAATCTTAACATGCAGAGAGCCTTCCCGTTTAGCTTTTGGGGACACACTGAATACTTGTCAGTAATTCATGCAGAATCAAAAGTCAATCTTTTGCATTTTAAAAGACAGTTAAAACCACTTAACTTGTTGACAGATTTAAAAACTGCACAGCATTGAAGTTTGTTTCAGTCTTTCAAGACCAGCATACTGACTTTAGGATTTTATGGTTCTATTGCTTCTCTAACTAAAATCCCTTACAACTTGTGTTACATGTGGCATTTGTCCTTGTATTTTAACTTAGGTTAGAACTAATATACACAAAGAATAAATATCACCTTCCAAATCCTTTCATGCTTTGAAGGTACATCTGCAGGTAGTGGCAAACATTATGTACCAAGTATTAAAATGCAGTTCAAGTGTGGAATAAAGAAGTGCATCCAAGTTTTGAGTCAGCAACTTCTACAGCAAGTAGTTTTGACTTACAAAATCCAAGAACTCTGACTCCCACAGCAACCTCAACCCTCATTCTTTTTAGCTTACAACCCAAACAGAAGGATTCTGCAAAATAAGTTTTGGCCTTTGTTCATCTTGTTCAAAGCTGTTCAAACGTTATGACATGTAAGTGTACAGTGTGGGCAGAAATCAACCACATGGAACAGATTAATCATCTAATCAGCAGCATTTCATACAGAGCGATGAACAGCAGCAGAACTTACCACAGTTAACACAAACACATAGGGCTCAGTACGTTGATATAAGAGTGACAATGCAACCAGTTTTCAGAATATTTGCTGAAGACTGAAGGGTAACAAAACTTAACTAGCAGTTCTTTCATATGGAAACTATGAAAAAAAAAAAGTGCAAAAATACTTTGTGACCTTTTCAGATAAGAGGAAACATTATCCAATCAAACCAGTGGGAAATGGTCTAAACTCCCATCCTGAGACAGTTTGTCTTGTAGATTCACATGTCTTAGGCAGTTTTCTAGCTGTAGGGTTTGTCAATCTGAAGAAAGAAAATTTGCAAATTCCAAATTCTGGAAGCCTTCCCACTATTAATAAACTGACCCAAAAAAAAAGATTTAGAATCAATTGTGTAGAAGTTATTAGCTCTTTAATTTGCTACTACTAGCTGCACAAATATGCAAGGGCATTTTTAAACCCTTTCGGTCCAGTTAAAGCCAAGATGCAGCAGCTTCTCCTATTACCAGAGAAGCAGCTTATGTGGGGAGACAGTATAAAATATAAACAACATATTAAAAAATTAAGACTATTTGCTACAGCAATTCTAGAAATAAGACTATATGTTTAATATACACTAAGCAGAAATGGCTTTGATTCTGAAGGAGGAAGGTTTTGAGGCATAGAAGGATGCAAGTTTGCACCATGAACAGAGCACAATATATTCACAATGTTGTGCCTGCCCTGGGGAAATAATGTTTTCCTCTCACTTAGCAGAGGAATCTGCTAGTTAGCACGTAACAGTTAAAGCCAGTACTGTAGGAATTGGGAATAAAATGTTCACAATTTAACTCTTTTTAATACATTTCAAGTTGCCTTAAGATACCAGTTTCTTATTAAAATGAGCTCAGAAGCAGATCATATGGCTCCAGGAAACCACCACTCAGCTTAAAGATTTAATTTAATCTGAAGTAAAATTTTGAAGATAAAAAGGAGTGCATTAGCATGAGTCGAGCCATGTTAAGTAGCAACAGAGGTCATTACTTTTTTAACATTTCTTCCTTCTTTTTGTATTGGTCACTTCCTTTTTCAAATGGGAACCCGCTGAATTGACCCACATTCTTCTTTAGGGAAGCAACCTAGAACAGAACACACAGATTACTTTCCATTTCAAGTAGTTTAAAAGATTTAATCCAATTACATGTGTTAACTTTTCATAGAAGAAAAATCTATTCTAGCATTTAGCTTTCTGTTGACAAAAAGTTAGACACTAAGTTATAACCCACAGGGATTATGCCAAACTACAGCAATTAACTTCTTGTGATCTTGGTACTTCTAATTCCTTTTAATAACTTACTAGGTAAAATCACCTGCCATTTCAAGCTGGTTTAGAATGCACTGCATCATTACGTAGAGGTTTGCACAACTGTGATCGTATGAAGCCTGTTGCATGGTTTGTACCATGTAATTTGTTATAGGACAGTGAATTTTATGTTTACTGCATAAATCTGCTAAAGCAGATTTGCTTTACTTGCTTTTCTAAAGTCTTACACGGGACCTTGATTGTACTTTCGAACCTTTTCTTTAGCATGACTGATTTTGGCATTCACATACCACCCAGTTTACAACTTTGACCATTATACTTGCAGTCAGGGCTGAAATTTCACTGCAGTAGCCCTCATGATGGAAAAATTGCTCCCATCAAGATCCCAAATATATTAAGTTTTGTTTTGGTTTTTTTGTTTGTTTGTTTTTTTTTTACACCATCTCCTTTTACCAATAAAGAACTTAAAAAAACATCCCCAAATCTTTAATTCTTCTGAGATCTTTTTAACACTATCAAGAATAATTTGAACTCACTTTCAACCGTTCTACAAATTTTGTTCCTCGTGTTTCTCCATTAGTTTACAATTTTACCAAAGCTAAGCTCCTTTTCCAAAGAGAATTATCTTTGTTCAGCACCTAGAGAAAATTTGCAGATGGTATTGGTAGGTTTTATTAAAAATGTTAATTATGATCCAAAGCACATACAGCACGTGCATTACAAGACAACATCTGACCTTCACTATATCAAAACAGCATTCAGAGTTCCCTACAATTCCGATTACATATAGTTTTGGATGAAACCATACCGATATATTTCCAAGCAAATAAATATATTCTCATAGCTTTGGATTCAAACCACTGGGATGCTGCAGCAATCCAGCTGGACTTTGCAATGAGTCTACGTCCAAAAGACTAAATGTGGGAGAGCAGAGCAAAGTCAGGGTGGAATTGCAACCAAATAAACAGCGTGGGAGGGAAGGGCAAGAGCTGTATTTCTACAGCAGCTGTGTCTAATTAGTATGATTTAGGAGTGTTAAGTATCAATTTACAATTGTATTATTTGCATATAATTATGAAACTGCACATAGTCATGTGTCTATCAGTTCATTAGATTATCTATTAGTAAATTATTGACAGTATCACTGAGATGTTAGTTTCTCAGTAGCATGCTGCATAATCAATAAACAATCGTCTCTTAAATCAGTTATGTCTCAGATCCGCAATCTCAAGTGGGAAAGAGGGACTCTGATGTAACGCCATCCCAGTACCTCTACCCAAAGATGGCAGAAGAGCATTACTGGTTTCATGAAGGGTAAATAGATGCAGTTTGATGACTTGCACAGTAAAGCCAATTAAATCTGAAAGTTACATGGTTCTGTCATTGTACCCTTCCTATTAAACAATTAAATTCTACTGCAGGACAACCCAAAAGTTTGCAAAACTCTGTATGCACCAAGTCAGAAATTCTCTACTCTGCCTTACTGCCATACTGAATAAATGGCATAATTCACAGAAGGAAGTTGTCATGAATATTTACTGTTCTCTTCTCAGTACTTTGCCATTTAAACAAGCATTGCATTTGCAGCAGTGGTATGACATATTGCAGCTAGCACGCATCTGTACTGGTACTATTCAATCCCTGGTTTATGTGCTAGCTGATCAAGTTTCCAAAGACTAAAAACAAATACCTATAAATACGGTAAGTGTACTGAAACTGTAAAATTTAATCTGCCTTAATTTCTCTACATCTGTTTTATCCCTATTAGCAAGGAAAATGGGTCATATTTACCCTGAAGTTTAAGGCACAATCACTGATGCATAAAGGGCTCCAAGAAAGATTTGCTCTTACATTTCCTTAAGTTTCATCCTTACATACAAAAGCAAGCACATCAGTTTTTAACCAGTATTTTAATTGTCTTAGATAAATGTGACAAAAATCACTATTAAGATTTTACATATAATGTAGTTTTACTTTACTTTGTGCAACCTAAAGGAGAAAATGACTAGGTAAGTAGCAACATATTAAAACTGACTAACAGGTTTCAAACATAAAAGAAACAGAAGTACTAAGAAAAAGCTACGCTGAACAAAATAACCACAGGGAGTATTGTTACTATAATCTGCATGTCAGCAGCTTTTAGTATGTGAACCATAAATTATTTGCAATTCATTCTCATAAGTTAAACCACTCCTCCCCCTATTAAACAAAATATATCAAAAATCTATATTCAAGAAGACTTACAATTCAGTACACCTTTCCATAGGATTTTTATACGGAGAGTAGTTTACAGGAGTTTGAAAAATTCTAGGCTTGCTTAACTGGCCCTGCAATATTTATTTTCTAAGTAGCTTGTAAAAAAATGACACTTGAGAAGTAGATTCACACGTGCAAATGTAAAAAGCTATGCTACAAACATTTTCACTATGCATGAGAACTAGTAGATATACAAGATTGATTTTAAGTTCTTACAGTGCCTGGCCTGTTGTAGAGGAGTTTGTGCAGGTTCCTAAGTTCGTCTGTCTTCTTTTTACTCAGAAAGAATTGTATCCTTTCAATTTCACAGAGTTTTTGTCCTTTTCCTGAAACAGTTAAAATCAATTATGCTATTCACCACATTCATATTTACCTCTGTGTTTATAGCTTCAACTATCTACTGTCTTTTTAAAAAAAGCAAAGAAGTTATTTCAGAATAGCATCAGACATTGTAAGAGGTCAAACATTATGCAGACCTCTTCCTATCAATTAGGCATCCTGACATTCTCTTTAACTTCCTTACTTGATACTACCTAGACCAGGGTACAAGGATGTGGCGTTTCTTTTTATTCTAGCTGCTCCTGCCTTTGGTATTGGTGGCTAAGTACTGCAAATCCTGTTCCAGGTAAGTTTAAACAGTATATAACTTCTATGGTTTAAATTGATGCTCCAGAATAAAAGAGAGTTTTCATATAATAGCCTTACAATTTTAAAATGAATCATGACTCTTAAGTTATGTCTCAGCCACAACAAATTAATAATTTGATATTTTAAGAGGTTTCATTATCATCCCCAACACTCACAATTCTTATGTGAGAGGACAAGCTTACCTGGTGTAATTGTAAAAGGTTCCTTTTGCAACGAGGACACTTGCATGGTCAATCGGTCTACCTTCTTTTTCTCCCTTTTTCCTTCAACAATGAGACTCTTTTCTGCAAAAGACAGCTTCCTTAAACACAGTATTTTGCATTACCTGAGCAGATTCGACTGTAGCAACAGGCCATATAAAACTGAACCTTTGACATGGCAAATCAAAAATGGATAATGACATAACCAATTATTATGACACTTTCAAATCTTTGGCTAATAGATCAATGGGATTCTATGGAGATGTATATAATATATATATATATATATATATGTATAAAACATATAACAAGAGGAATCTTAACCACAATCCTGCATCCCATCTAACCTTCAAGGACAAGACTGGGCATTTCCCCCTCGGTGGAGACTGAAACACTACATATTTGCAAGTGCTGGCCAAGTGAAACCACCACACCGTCCTCTCCCTTCACTGCCTTTCTGAGGTACAGAACTGACATTGCTTGGCAGCTCCACTTGAGCTCTCTCAGGGACAATACTACCACCAGACGGGCAAAAGGACAGCCCAACATAGCTGCAGACACTTTTTCTTCCCACTGCTGGACTGAAGGACCCACATATATCTCCAGGAAAGGCAGAAGCATGAGCACAGCAGGACTGTACAACAGCTCACAGGACTATGCAGCGCAGCACTCTGCAGGGCACAGTACGAGTGTTACAGATACTCCAAGAATACTATTCCTAGAAATTCTGGTACTGCTTAGTAATGAATACATTTAGATTGTTTTATGTATACATTGCACATCACTAATGATACTGCTTCAAGAGAAAAACACAAGCCTTCACCTAAGCATTTCATACTAAAATACTTTACCTCAAATCAAACTATTATTAGCATTAAACAGATGGGCTATCCTGGCTTTAACATCTAAAAGCAGCTTCAAAAGCTGTATGAACATAATCCAAACTGGGTATGGATCTGAAGAAAACAGAGCAAAGCACACTTGTGTGTACACAAGAAACAGTCATTTCTAAAAATCTAATTCTAATTACTCTAGTTTCCCAAACAGCACCATCTTTTTTCTTTCTACTACCTTTCCTAAAGACAAACTTCATCTTTTTTAAGAATCCAAGACCATCAGTGATTTGGTTTTCACTGTGCCATACTGCAACTCTTATTTCCACAGATGCTTTCGTGTGCAAAACAGGCACCTAGAGATTTCATGATGAAAACTAACATTTTTGCATAGTAGTTCCTTCTTCACATCTTGTACTCCTTGACTACCCTCTTCAATTACATGCCACAACACAAAATCTGCCTTGCTTGCTCATTCTAGATCGCCATGATTTTTATTGCCAAAATTAGTAAAATGGAATATATCCCCTCCAATATAATTAAATTTTGGTACCCAGCAAAGTAATTCACAGTGGTTAAGCAAAGGCATCTGTATTGTTTCCAAAGCTACTGCACTATTTTTTCAAGTTTCTCCCTCTTGAAAACATGGATCACTTCAGAGTGTTACTGGCAAAAAAGGGTTCTTTTTTAGATATGTATTTTTAATACAAATAATTTGATACAGGATGCTACCTCTTATTATTATCTAGTAGTTTATACAACAGCAACAACAACAAACCACCTAGTGTAGGAATCCAGGATGCTGGCAAATTCCTTCCATCTTTCCTGAGGACCACCAGTATTGCTGTTTCTAGTGTTGCCTGTTACAACCAACTTGGAAGTGATTTATGACCCATGAGACAGATGCACAATTGAATCTCCTAAACAATAATTCTACAATCAGCCTAGATCAGAAGAAACTGCACTCAGTAAGCTTGGCTTTTTTTAAAGGACAACTTATTCAGTGGAAAAGCACACACCCTTTTCTTCTTCCTCCTCTTCTTCCTCTTCTTCATCCTCATCACTTTCCTCAGCTTTGTTTTCAGCTTCAGGTTGTTTCTCATCTGCTTTTTCAGACGACATTGTATCTTCTTTTGATGACACAACAGAAGACATGGTGTGTGGTTCTGGAAAAAGCAGTCAGGGAAGCCATCATCAATACAGCCTTATACATGAAAAATACAGGAATCTTGCTTTAAAAAACTTCTTGTAATGTCACAGTGCTCATATTGTGACCGTTCACATTCTGTAAGACACTAAAGTATCCTGCATACACACAATAGAGAACATTTTTCAGGAGGAGCTGCCATCTGTTCTGCAACTGGCCTGGTTAAGACCAGTTTAAAAGTTTATCAATTATTTCCCTGCACAAGTCTTGAAGCTTGCTTTACGAAGCACTTGGCAACACCCACGGCAAAGCAGCTGATGCTGTTATCTATTAAGAACTGTAACGTTTTTAAGATATCACAATTTTAGTGCACCACGTTATAAGCTGAGTAGTTATTTCTGATCACTGTTAACTATGCACACACATTTCCTAAAAAGTTAAACAAGCTACATATTTAGATGAGAAATGGAAACAGAAAAAAAGAAGTTACAAGCAACATGGAAAAAATTAATGCTGCTTTCAGAATTCAAATAGCTGCGACACCTTAGAGCTTGAAAATGCTTTTTAGTTTTAATCTGCAGACCTACAACAAAAAAGAATAAATGTCTCATACTTAACATATCTGAGAGGAATCTTCTCTTAGCATTTGAAGTGGTTTAAATATTAACTTCAAAATTAAAATATCTCACTTTGGTGAGTACTATTTCCCTACTGACAGGGAATGCCTGCCTAACAAAGGAAGATAACCACATCTGTTCATTTCAGAAAAACTCTAGCCTTCAAAATCTTACACTATTTACAGATCTGGAACAAAATACAGCATCAGTTGTATGGGAAAAAATATCACATGATTGACCATTTTCTTTTTCCAATATTGGTCAATACTATCTGCAAGAGATCAGACTGAATAAACAACAATTAAATCAACTGCTTATATGCAAAGTTAGCAGGTGCCAGAGAACAGCAGCACTCCAAATGATAGAAAACATGAGTTAATTACCAATAGTCAGGGGGGAAAAACAAAGTTTACTCCTCTTTACTAAATCCCGGGATGGGGAGGGGGGATGGAATCTGTTTCAGAGTATTACTACCAGTATTTCAACTGACACGGAAAAGCAATGTGACTTTTTGACACTATTACTCTCTGAATTTTACTTGTTCGCACGAGTGAAAAGCCCAGAGAAGCACTACACATTGTCCTCCCTCCTCCTTCAATGGGAGCAGGAGGAGAGCAGGAAAGTAAGAGACTTTTTAGGCTTCCACCAGCCAGGTCTGTGAGGACGACGGGCTCAGGGAAATGGGGATGGACCTCGAGGAAGCGTTAACTCGGGGGTGTTTTCGGCGGGGGAAGGTACCTCGGAGGCCACCCCGAGAAGGATATTCGTGCAACAGCAGCACCTCCCACCCTCGCCCAGGACTTTTCAGACACGGACTCAGCACCTGTCCCCTTCCCGACTGCGA